TTTTAGCCTGATTTTGAAAGTTCAGGCTGGAAGCTGTTTCTTGACAGTGTGTTTTGTTCTGTCCATGGACAAAACTCAATTAGGAGCCAGTTATAAAGATGTAGGGACCAAAGACAACTATTAGTCTTAAGTAAAGGGCATTTTGATTTTATTTTAAATTGGTTGGGGTTTTTGTTGTTGTTTTTGTTTTGGTTTTTGGCTTTTTTGTTTTTGTTTTTGTTTTGTTTCTCTGTAGCTTTGGAGCTTGTCCTGGAACTAACTTTGTAGACCAGGCTGGCCTGGAACTCACAGAGATCCACCTGCCTCTGCCTCCCCAGTGCTGGGATTAAAGGCATGTGTCACCACAACCTGGCTTAAATTAGTTTTAAATACAATTTTACTTCTTGAATGAGGGAACTGTTTATCATTTTACATTAGTCCAAGTTTCAAAATCATATGCAAAAACATTGTTCAAAGAAGTCTTGTAGCTCTTTGTCATAGCCGGTGAGAAAATTTTTTGTGCACTTATTTCTGATCCAAATGGACAGTTTCTCTTTAAAAAGTAAAATTATCTATATCTTTCTGTTTTTCTTCTTCTTTCCTTCATAAGAAAATTAAAACAAACAAAACAACAAGCATGCTAGTATTTTTCCCCTTGTTGGTTTTTCTGTTAGAAATAAGTCCCCAAGGCTAGCCTTCAGAGGATGGGTTTTCATCATTTCCGTTTGTAAGTCTAGAATATACTGCTGTGTTTACTCAGATAATCCTCCCCTGGTGGTCTGTTGCGGCATCAGCTCTTACAAACGAACACCACGGTGGTCACCAGCAGAGACTATTCAGTATTTGCAGAAGGCGTGTGGCTTTTCTATTGCCTCTGTAAGAAATTGCTACAAGCTTAGTGACGTAAAATGTGAACTTGTTATCTGACCATTCTAGAGGACAGAGTACGTCTAGAGGACAGAGGACAGAGTCTGGAGAGCACCGCCCATTCCTTACCTTTCACTGCTCGGGTTCCTCAGTTCACGGCTCCCGCTTTCCAGAACGGTGCTGGATTGAGCATTGTTCATGGCATCCTGCTCTGAATGGCCTCTCGTCTTTCTCCTTCCTTTGTATGCCATTGAACTACTCCATTAGTTTAGAGTAACCTCCAGGCTCTTAACCACACCCATAAGGTCCCTTTCACTACATTAGGTAACATACGAACAAAGTAAGGGTTTGAAGGTGACCATCTTTATGGTTCCATTGTGCTCCTACCTTAAAGAAGGATTGTCTAGAAGTAGGATTGCTGGTTCAAAGATTCAATGAGCACATAACTTTTTAGATACTGCTAGATCCATTTCCAAAGGAGCTATACGCAGCCTGTAAACCTGTAAACAATACCCTAGTATGCAATTGTCATAGGGAGTATGTAAGACCCCTGGAAGCTCAGGCCTCCAGGATCTCAGCCCAGGACCACGGCCACCCCAATCCCCATGTGGAGGCAGAAACTTGATGCAAACTGCACGAGGCTTTATTGTTGTTTAACGTGCTATCCCCATGTTAGCTCAGGTCTTTCATCCACCCACCATGGCGGATGGCTAGGAAAGACAGCTCGAAGTGTCTGCACAGAAATCTTATAGGGCAGCGTAAGGGGCGTGTCTAGGGGTATGCACAGGCTCAGGATTGGTGTGCCTCCAGGCTTGGAGGGTTTGCCCTGTGTTGATTGGTCAACTGGTTGTTATGGCCCATAGGCCCTCCCAGGGTGGTTGCTATGCTCTGCGCGTCATTGCTGTGTCCTTGTCCGAAAAGCACACCCAGAGCCGTAAAGCATAGCACCACTAGCTAACTTCTGATTGGTTCCTTGCCACGAGGCAGGCATCTAACCTAGTGACTAAGACAAGGTCGCCGAAATGGGAAGCTGGTCCCTTCAAGTAGAGCTCCAGAATGATTCAGCATGAGCAAGCCCATTCTGTGATGAGGGTAACTCCTCCTGGGGAGGGGAGAGCTGTGATCCAGGGGGAAGTAGAAGGAAGAGGAGAGGGACTAGCAGACCCAAACTTTCCCCATGGCGACTGCATCAGCAAACACAAGGGCAGACCCTGAAAGTGCTGATGACTGGGAGCCCACGGACCACACTGACCTTCCATGAAGGATTCGGGTACCTTATGTAACTCATCATCCTCTAACAGCATTTCTCAGCACCAAAGTACCATCGAGACCTGTTATTTGTAACCTTACTTAAATAAGAAAGAATTTATTCTTTTGAATTTACAATGTGAAAATATATAAATGCTTTTATAAGCCCCCTTCTTTCCTGGGCCCTGATACTAACAATGGCTCCCAGAATGTGGTGCTTGTGTTATCTAGGAGCAACATGCAGAGTCTTGGTGCCCATCCCAGACCTTCTGAAACTAATATGCAAAGGTTGTCCGATCATCGATCACCTCTGTTGTCACTTAGGGATGCAATGATGTTAAATTCAACTTTCTACCTCAATTGCCAAATGTATACTCAGAAGCGTTGGGTATATATCATAACAGCTAACACAATATGTGCCTCACAGAGTAAGGTTCTAAGGTGTTTTTTTTTAATATACTACTGTTTTAAATTGTCACCAGAATAATTCAGGTTCAACTTTATGACTGTTGTGTGACTGATGACATTGAGGCTTGGGAAAGATCAGTAAGCAACACTCAAGATGATTTCAACGGCAAGTGCTAGGTCTAGAGGTCCAGTCCAAGTCTGCCAATCTAAAGCCAAACCGTCTCATCTTCTGAAAGAGCATGGTCTAGATCTGGGATGGGTACATAATTAATTGATTGGACTTTTAAAAAAATGAGCTGGCTTGGGGGCTTTGTAATCATGTTTGAAGATGGTATTGACAACGCTATCATTCTCTTAGCACTGTGGCATTATTGGAAAGCTAGAAATGCCAAGAATGGATTTGCTAATGTGTTCACTGCGAAGTTAGCTAGCTCACGTTTCTCTCAACCATTCTTTAGGGGCTGGCGATGCTGGCCACATCTACTCTTAGTTTTAAGTAGCTACCTTCAAAATTCTAGACGGTCAGTATGTAATCGTGACTTGCAAATTGGAGTGGTATCAGTTGTCTTCCAACGATGAAAAAGGAGTAACTTGGCTCATGGGAATCTTACCTGCCACCTGAGTTTTGTACCTGACTTTTGTTAGTAATAATCGTCACTTCAAATGGTATGAGTTGTTGTACAGTGCTTTCAGTGAGATTCCAGGAACGTCTTTGCCAGCCCCTCCCTTTTCTTCCCCAGGGGTGAAGAAGGAACTCGGGGGATGATACTGCCAATGCCTTAGAATTGTCTTGGTATGACAGTGTTCTTTACCACATCCATGTCCTTCCCATAAATCCGCCACTTCCCTGCTTTGTCTCTAGCCTATGCCCAACATTCAGATACAGCGTAGGAGTGTGACACCAGTCTTTGCCTGCCGAAACAAGGGAAATTTACCCACTCAGTGAAGTGCAAGCTGGAGCTATTCACATCAACTCATGGAGAAGCAATTCCAAGCGCCAGGGTCAAGTGCGTCTCCTTCACGCCAATAAGGCTCCAGAACGCACCTAATTTTAGTTGGCTACATATTTAGACCATTGTGGTCTTATAAAAGTTTCTTGGTTTTTCCTGGAATTTCTCCAGTTAGCTCTTTTTAAATAGGTTCAGAAAAGAAACACAGGCCTTCTTCTGTACCACGCACTAGCAATTCTAGCTTCTCCTCCTGCTTTCCATTAGACACAAGCAGCTCCTTCTGCAAGGAGGGTTCTTTTTTTGGAGGGGGGTAATCTTCCTCCTTCCCTGCCTCCATTTTTGCCTTCCTGTCTTCCTCAATTTCTCTCTCCCCTGCTTCCTCCCTTTTGTCTGTGTTTTTTTTTTTTTTTCTTTTCTTTTGCCCTAGTGGGAATGGAACTTGGCTTTGTTGGAGGAAGTGTGGTCTTGCTGAAGAAGGCCGAATGCCACATGCCTTTAATCCAGACCTTGAGTCTACAGGGCACACCTTTCATCTGGGCTACACTTTCTGCTGGAAGTGTGTCACTGTGGAGGGTGGGCTTTGAGGTCCTTTTCTCAAGCCTCACTCAGTGTGAGAGTCAATTCTACTTCCTGCTGAGTATGAGTCAAGATGTAAGACTCTGATCCCCAGCACCATGTCTGCCTGTATGCCACCATGCTCACAGCCATGATGGACTGAACCTCTGAACTGTAAGCAAAACACTGCAATTAATGTTCTCTTTGTAGGAGTTGCTGTGGTCAGGGTGTCTCTTCACAGCAAGAAAAACCCAAACTAAGACAGTCACAAAGTACTTCTTCAACAGTGTAATTTCATTCCGGCACTGTAACCAATGCCAAACAATGGTTTACTTTTTCCTCTCTAACCAGTTTTACTATCTGGAATAGTCTCATTTTCCCCCATCCTAGGGATATAGAAATTTCATTAAGCCCACATTGGGTCATAAGCATTGAATAATTCACCTTCATGTTTAGGGCATAATTTAATCTGAAGGCTGATTTTTTTTTTAAATTTTGAAAGTTTTTCTTCTGTTATTTCTTCCATATTTATTTTCTCTGTTTGCTTATTTATTTTCCCCAGGATCAACCCCACCAACATCTTCATTGTCTTCCACTTTTTTCTTCTGCTTAAAAAAAAAGAAATCTTTGTTTTGCTTTGTATTTTACAAAATGTTTTTGTTTGCTTTCTCTGTCCTTCTGAGAAAACTGAGACGAAGAACATTGGTTTATCGTATGCAAAGCTAAGACATACAACATCAGGATATGAACTCACGTCTGCACAAACCGTTCTACCACCCTGCCTCTGTTTAATTTTCCCTTCAACAATTTTCTTCTTCCTAAAGAAATATGATTTTTGAGTCAGTGCATCCCAACAGACCTTTACCCTATTACTTAGTAGGACAGTAGCTTTGAAAAGTGTAGCTATCGTCAGACTTTGTAGTCAATGCATTCTCCATGGCACCCGAACAGCCTCTCCTCACCTTTTAACTTCCTTTCATAGATCTCAGGGTACAAGGGTCCGTGCAGGTAGGAGCAACCATTCCGACACTTCCCTCCCTTAAAGCTGTCCAGTGACTGAGAGTCCTAACTTGCTTCGTGACTCTGAAATCTCTAGAACCTCTCAGAGATGTAAAGGGCAGTTAAGCAGGAGATTGCAACTGGGTGATAGAGTGTTTGTTCGTAGTTTTGGTTTCGTGTCAAAAGATAGAAAAAGACTACGGAGACTGTCTGCGGATGGAGAAGGTACAGCCTACCAAGATAGTTGCTAGGGAGGAAACCAACGATGGAGAGTTATTGGAGCCATCTGCTTGCAAGTAAAATCCAAAGACAGAAGACGGACGCGGCGCTGTTCACAGCCACCTGCAATGCAGAGTGAAGGAAGCCAGTAAGGGACGTGGGCTAATTGCTTGGTCACATTCACACACAGCTTGTGGTTGACTGAAGATATTTAAAAACCCCTGCTCTTCATCAGGGAATGGAAATGAAAGATGCTTTCCTTAGGAATGATCCTGCATCACAGGAGGAAGGCTTTAATTCTGGTGAGGCCGCTGCCC